CCTGCTTTTTTCTGTGGATTGGAGGCAAGATAAATATGAGGAAAGCTTTTAAGGGACAATGTCATTGTTCCTGTTTTAGTAAGATGAGTTTCCTGGAACGTGCTTTGCTTTACATACAGATGTACACTATATTGCCAAAATGCCTGCCTTTACACGCACATGAACTTTAATGGTATCCCAGTCTTAGTCCATAGGGTTAATATCAAGTTGGTCCACCCTTTGCAGCTAGAACAGCTTCAACTCTTCTGGGAAGGCTGTCCACAAGGTTTAGGAGTGTGTCTATAGGAATTGACCATTCTTCCAGAAGTGCATTTGAGAGGTCAGGCACTGATGTCAGACGAGAAGGCCTGGCTCAAAGTCTCTGCTCTAATTCTTCCCAAAGGTGTTCTATGGGGTTGAGGTCAGGACTTAGGGCCATCCCCAAACTGTTCCCACGAAGTTAGGAGCATGAAATTGTCCAAAATGTCTTGGTATGCTGATGCCTTAAGAGTTGCCTTCACTGGAACTAAGGGGCCAAGACCAACCTCTGAAAAACAACCCCACGCCATAATCCCCCCTCCACCAAACTTTACATTTGGCACAATGCAGTCAGGTTCTCCTGGCAACCGCCAAACCCAGACATTTCCACCAGATTGCCAGACAGAGAAGCATGATGCTTCACTCCAGAGAACATGTCTCCACTGCTCTAGAGTCCAGTGGCGGCATGCTTTACACCACTGCATCCGACGCTTTGCATTGCACTTGGTGATGTAAGGCTTGCATGCAGCTGTTTTATTCTATGAAGCTTTTTACACACTGTTGTTGTTCTAATCTGAAGGCCACATGAAGTTTGGGGGTCTTTAGCTATTGACTCTGCAGACAGTTGGTGACTTCTGCGCAGTGTGTGCTTCAGCATGCTCTGACCCCACTCTGTCATTTTACATGGCTGAGTTGATGTTGTTCCCAGTTGCTTCTTCTTTGTTATAATACCACTAACAGTTGACCGTGGAATATTTAGTAGCAAGGAAATTTCATGGATGGACTTATTGCACAGGTGGCAACCACGCTTGAATTCACTGAGAGCGACCCATTATTTCACAAATGTTGGTAGAAGCAGTCTGTATGCCTAGGTGCTTGATTTTATACACCTGTTGCCATGGCGGTGATTGGAACATCTGAATCCAATTATTTGGAAGGGTGTCCAATACTTTAAGCAATATAGTGTATCTCTCACCACAGTGTCATGCACTGTCATGCACTGTGGTGAGAGATATATCTGCATGTGAAGCAAGACTTGCACTGCAGATGGATAGGAGTGGCAGAGCTGTTGCTATGTATTACTAAGCGCATTGTAAGGTTGTGCACATTTTAATATGAGTGAGCATTTATATGGTTTTAGCAGTTTTAATAAATTAAGTATTTTACACCATGCAAGATTTTCTCTTTCTTTCAGTGATATCTGAACCTGAGAGAGGATTGCTTGTGGAGGAGAGTGAGACACTGGTCAGGGACCCCTCTCCCATAAAGGGACTGCATGACCCCTATTGTAATAATAGGGTCATGGTGGTCCAGTGAGTGTTTTGGGTCAAAGATGGTGGCACTTGGGTGTTTTTTGTCTGCACAGAGGAATTTATTGGACTTCTACCTGGAGCGTGGAACACTATTTGATGTAATGGGCACTTTGTAATTATTTTGAAGTGCATATTCATTTAGTGCATATTATTGGATATACACACTAATCTTTTTTTGTATAGTACTTTTGTTTCGCTTTACTCCATTTACAGTATAAGCAGGCCTGGGGGTAGAATTTATTATTACTATTACTATTATTCTATTATTTATGTATAACATATCAACCAAAACTTAACCAAATTCACTAAATAACCTGCCAAAGAGAAGTAGTTGGTGGAATAGGGGTTCTCAACTGTCCACAAGAGACAGGAGAGAAAAAGGTGAGTGGAACATCAGACTGTCAAGAAGCTTTGGGTAAATGGGGAATTGAGGTAGACCAACAGGGCAGAAATTCTACCCCCAGGCCTGCTTATACTGTAAATGTAGTAGAGAAAAAAACTGCCGACATGAGGAATACAGCAAAAAGGGCCAAGGCTATCCTAGCATGGATATATCCTTGGGCATCCCACATACCCCTTACCCCATCCAAGTTGAATTCCCCTAATAAAATCCAAAAAACAAGCTCAAGGATTGGTTACTCTTTCCTTGATGCAAGTCTGAGTGAAGGAAACGTGTGTTTGCCTGGCTGTGCAGGACTATAGGGGAACCCAAACTTCAATGACTCCTAAGGGAGTAATGCTAAAATGACACTCCATGCATTTGAAAACACAGCACATTTCAAAGTGCATGAAACGCGAGTTCAGTGCAACTGCGATTTGAAAAAGGTTCAGGGACCTTTTTCCTGCAGCTACAGCAGCCCTTTCAATGGAAATGACTTGATTACTTTTTTTAAATAAATATACGGAGTGCTGCAACCTTGGATTTATATACTCTATATTACAGACTGTTGGGGTCAGCCCAGTTGCATATGCACCAACGTTTATCATCCTTGTGGTTTACATTGGAGAAAATAAATGCTAATGATACTCCACTAATATGCTGTAACCCAATAAAGTGTGAATTAAAAATTTGCAAAATTATGCATAAACAAACATACTTAAAACGCTAAATATATCAGTTCATATTTTTCAATTAAATTGAAACCTAACTGTATTTGAGCACTAAAAACTGAGAACGGTATTTAATTCCTTTTTCAATGTTCAAAGCAAACTCATTCATCCATCCATGTTTTCATGATTAACTTTTTTGAGAAATTGCTTTGAAAAACACCCTCTAGCCTCAGCCATCTTGAGTAAGGGCAGATGGTTCATGTAGCATTTATTTCCTGGAATCCATCTGCCCTTAGCTCATTCATGCACGCAGGAGGGTGTGCTTAGCTGGGAAAGCCCCTGACCCCCTCCTTCAGATGAAAGAAAAAAAATGCCCATGAATACTCATGTGCGACATTATGTATAACATCATGATGGTCTAGGCCAGAAACCATGAAGCAGCAGAAGACATGTAAAAAAAAAGGTTTAAACCAAATAGTACCTACCTATGTATTTCCTAATGCTAACAGTATAAGGATTACAAATAGTCAATGTTGATTGAGAAAGTTTAGTTCCACTCTAAAATGTCCATAGCAATGAGCAACCACATACTATAAAGCATCAATTCATCCAGAAGTGGCATGATACTTTCTTTGTGGAGGCATGCAGTACATCTTCTGCAACCACAAGTGTAGACCTAGTACTAGCACTAGCACTAGTATTGATCTCTACATACATTTCACAAAATACTCCTCCAATCAGGATAGGGCCAAGGGTCAGGATGGGGCAGATGCTGCAGACAACTTCAGTGCTTTGGCAATAGGAGGGGGGGAGGTAAAAAAATTCAGGATATTGCTGATGTAATTCACAGGTCATGTGGGTAAGGGGGGGTGCACTTTGTACTCTTGCCTTCAGTGTTTAAGGATCTTGTACCAGTACTGCCTCCAATAAAATAATTTCTGGACCTCCAGATTGCAACAGCTCACAACAAATGAGGCAGAGAATCTTCAATTGTGTAGTCCGTTTTATTTAAAAGACAACAAAGCAAAAGACTAACATTGCAAAGTGCTTATCCAGCACCTATAAGGTACTTTTAATATTCACATGCTCTCATACATGTAATCTTAAAGAAAAATAACCTCCAGGCCCTCCTTTTATAACATTACAGCAGTATATTGTTTTGATTTGTTTAAATAATTGTCTGAAAGCATTATTTTTCTTACAGTTAGTGCAGGGGTATTGTTTTGAATTTTGGTGTTTAAAAGTTGCACTTGAATATTTGAGTATCTCTACACAAAAAAAATTGTCATCTTTTTTATGAAATCAATAATGTGCCTCGAGTCCCCTAGCGCCTTTCAATGGTGGGTTTCCCACAAATTTCATTGTGTCCACTCATTCCTCACTGGTCGGTCTATCTACAACTAGGTAGAAATAAGGGACAAATAATGTTATTTGGCCCTTATTTCTGCCCAGGTGTAGATAGACCGATCAGTGAGGAATGAGTGGACACAATGAAAATGAATCATGAATTCTCCTGATTCCTACAAATCAAACATTGGTTGACTTCGGTGCTTTCTGATAAAGATCCGACGACCCAACTGTCCTTGTTCAAACTTATTTGTCATCGGACACCCTTTTCCCTAAACTTATATCTACTCTTTATGGACAATTGAACAACCTTCAAAATCCTAAGAATCCCACATTTGTTTCCAGGTGGGAAAAGGACCTTCAAAGCAGTAAAGATAGGGGTTGCTGGTCACAAATATGGACAACCTTGACTTCCTGCTCCATAAATATTCTTACTGTCGAATTAACCTTTAAAACTGTCAGAAGGTAGTACCTGGTCCCAACCTGCCTGGCGCACCTTCACCCATCTGCCCCTGGCACCTGTTTCTAAGGATGCTCTACCCCGGGAGACGTTCTACATGTGGACATGCCCTATGCTCTCCCAATTCTGGACAAAGGTTGTTAAATTCCTATATTCATTATTAACCTGCCCTTTCCCAATGCACCAATGGCACGTCCTTCTATATCTGAAACCCCCCGGCCTCTCCAAATTTAACCCCTTCCACCCACCATATAAGGAAATGACAGGCGCAAGATGGTTCTCTCGTTCTGGGAGGATGTCATATGACGTCCTCCCACTCTAACCGCGCGTGCACACCCCCGGGGGCACACAGCGCAGCGATCAGTGGTGTGCTGTGTTCCTGGGACACAGCGGATCACCAATCAACGGAAAGAGCCGATGACGTCGGCTCTGTCATGTGATCAGCTGTGTCCAATCACAGCTGATCGCATGTAAATAAGGAAATGTTGGTTATCGGCATTCCTCTCCTCACGAGCTACCATCAGTGCTACCTGTCAGTGCCCATCAATGCCACCTGCCAGTGCACATCAGTGCCACATATCAGTGCCCATCTGAGCTGCCTTTCAGTGCCACCTATCAGTGCCAGTCAGTGCTGCCTATCAGTGCCAGTCAGTGCCGCCTATCAGTGCCAGTCAGTGCCACCTATCAGTGCCAGTCAGTACCGCCTATTAGTGTCAGTCAGTGTCACCTATCAGTGCCACTTAACAGTGCCAGTCAGTGCCACCTAACAGTGCCAGTCAGTGCTGCCTATCAGTGCCAGTCAGTGCTGCCTATCAGTGCCATATATGAGTGCTGCCTTTCAGTGTCCACCAGTGATGCCTGTCAATGCCAATCAGTGCCACCTACCAGTGCCTCCTCATCAGTACCAATCAGTGCCACCTAGCAGTGCCCAGTAGTGCAGCCTATCAGTGCCCATCACTGCAGCCTCATTAGTGCACATCAGTGAAGGAGAAAAATCACTTATTTACAAAATAACAGAAATTAAGAAATAAAGGTTTTATTTTGCAAAATTTTCACTTGTTTTTGGTTTGTTTTAACAAAAAATAAAAAACCCAGAAGTGATTAAATACCACCAAAAGAAAGCTCTATCTGTCTCAAAAAAAGAATAAACATTTCATATGGGTATAGTGTTGCAGGACCGTGCAATTGTCATTCAAAGTGCGACAGCGCTGAAAGCTGAAAATTGGCCTGGGCAGGAAGGGGGTATAAGTGCTCGGTAGGCAAGTGGTTAAGCTAGCTACGTATGTACTACTGCCAGCAAAACAACCCATAGCAAAAGCTTGGAAATAGCAGTTTATACCTTTTACAGAAGTTCTCCGCCATGTAGACTTTTTTTTCTTATTAATGAAAAGCTCTCCAGCAGTCCTTTGGAAACCCATGAGAAATTTCTTAAAATATGGACTCCTTAGATCCAACATGCCCAACCTTCTATATCAACAGATAGTTTTACTTTGCTATAATTACAGAGACTCCACAGATCAGGTTCGGGCACTCTTGACATCCTCTTTTTGACTCCCTCTTGCTCTCTTTTAGGGGGAGGGCATGATTGTTTTGCTATGGACCTTGATGGAGAAGTTGTTTGAAGGGACATGGGCGGAAGGTGTGTTGGGAATATTATGAGCTCAGTTTTGGGAAAATTTGAATGTAAGGATGTGATTTGAAACCAATTTCCTATGTCAGAGAGTAAATTAGTGATGCGTGAGGAGACAGAAGGGGTGAGCTGAGGGGCAAAAAGAGAGACTTGGGTATTGTCAGCAAAGAGATTGTATTGGAAGCCTTGGAAGATTATCAACTGACCCAGGGAGGAGGTGTAGACAGAGAAGAGAAAGAGCCTGAGGACAGAGTTTTGAGGAACCCCTACTGAAAAAAGAAAAGGAGGGGAACAGATAGAGTTGTAAGTTAAACTCAAATTGGGCTGAAATACTTAGGAGGAGAAGTCTTAAGAGCAGAGCCTTGAAGGCCAAGGGAATAGAGTTTTGGAGGAGGAGTGGATGGTGAATTCTGCCAAAGACAGCAGAAGGGTCTGAGTACAGGTACGAAGTAATGGCCATTGGTTATAGTGGATTACAATATTATGGTGAGGGGGGTCTGTAGCTGCCAACATCCCTTGAAACTAACACAGAAAGAAATATCCCCTATAGGTGGGACTTTAAGCCCCAATCAATGAGCCAAAAAAGTAAAGCACAAAGTAAAGAACATGACAGTTTATTCAAAGTCTGTTAAAACAACAAATGTACCAACAATGTTGTGGTCATAATTGCATACAAGATCATACATATAGCAATTTGTAGTCAACTATCCAACACGTTTTGCGGTCAATAGACTATTCCTCTTCAGGAACGCAATAGCTGACTATAGTACATTCTAAGATATAAAAATGCAGTACATATAAACATATTAAGAATAAATTTTATTTTTGAAGCATGACATTTATTCATTACATAAGGACATACTAATCCATATTTTTAGACTTTTTGGTATGACCACAAGTACATTAAAATCAAGGATACTGCCAGCTGCTGTTGACACTGCCACCAGGATAAGCCCAAGATCGCCAAGGCCACTGAGGTTGCCGCAAAGGACAAGGTTGGGAAATAAACCAATAAACCAAAGGTTATATTTGATCATTAGTCAATAACATAATATATGAATAATTCAACCAAATATGGTCTTTGCCATAACTAAGGAATTTAAGGTATAGATGACTTACATTATATAATGACAGATTGATGTAAGAGCTGCACTTTAAACCTTAGAGAGGTATGTGAGAACATTTGGACCCAATTTGTAGTTAGAAAAAATGAATATTATGAAGTAGTTGAAGTAGACAAGATGAAGTGGCTCACTGCATATAGGGCAAATTGGGAAGGGCCAATTGTAACATTGGTTTTCAAAACATTGGAAATTGTAAAGATCTAGAAAACATTGTAGCAAAAATTATTATAATTACATATTGCCAAAATCTATCCCAAAATAAAGCAGTGAGTGATGGTCTATAATGACAAACCTTCTTAAGCAGAATTTGCAAACAAGTAGCATGGTGTCTGTGAACAGCAGAGCAAAATAGGCACAGTCAAGCAGCTATATAAAGCCCAAAGGAGATAGAAATCTAATCAATCAAATGCACAGCAGCAGTGGAGCCAAGAAGAGGATCAGTCCCGGTCCTCTGGCACACCCCCCGGACAGGCATAGCGTGTGGTGTGACCCCGCCCCTTAGTGTGGGATGATGTCACGTGCCATGTGCACCGCCTACGCATGATGGGCAGCACCATCAACTGGAAGCTAGAACAAGGCCTGGGCTGCAAAATGCAGCCAAGCCCTGACCCAGATAATAAGCCAGTGGCAAAACCTGAGTGAAGGCTGCTGCCTCCGCCAAACACTGCAGTAATTGGCCTACATGCACCGGGTGGCCATCGGGGATGCAGGGGATGGACATGTCCCAGCTGTTGGGAGGTACAAACAACAGCAATGACATGCACAAGCAAAGCATATCCAATACACATAAGTAACAATTGGCCAAGCAATAAACAGACATATTTGGCAGGGAGAAAAGGGGGAAAAAGGGAAGAGAACCACAAGATGGAAAGGAGGGCATTAAGGAGAAAGGGAGAAAGACTGATAGACCATCCTAACAGTATTGGTTAAGAGAAGAATGTGACACATTTATGTGATCATCAGTACCCAGATGATACCTAAACTATAAATATGTCCACGTAATAAATTGAAGGAGACTTGACTAATACAGTGCTCAGCATAAATGAGTACACCCCTTTTGAAAAGTAAGATTGTAATCAATATCTCAATGAACACAATAACAATTTCCAAAATGTTGACAAAACTGGGTTTTATAGAACATTTGTTTAGTTTGTTGCATAGTAAGTAAGGTTTATAACCTTATAACAGATTACAAAATCTTCCATTTTACTCAAATAAGTTGATGCAAAAATTAATACACCCCACAACAAAAACTACTACATCTATTATTTTGTATGACCTCCATTATTTGTAAGGACAGCACCAAATCTTCTAGGTATGGAATTCCATTTTTAAAGAACGACCTCTTTTAGAGCCTGAATGCTGGATGGAGACTGATGCTGAACTTGTCTCTTCAGAATTCCTCATACAGTAAGTGTTCGGTTTGGTTCAGATCAGGAGACATACTTGGCCACTGAATCACTTTCACCCTGTTGTTCTTCAGAAATGCAACAGTGGCCTTAGATGTGTGTTTTGGATCATTGTCAAGTTGGTAAAGTGCATGACGACCAAGGGCACGGAGTGATGGTAGCATCTTCTCTTTCAGTATTGAGCAGTTCATCTGTGAATTCATGATACCATCAAGGAAATGCAGCTCCCTAACACCAACAGCACTCATGCAGACCCACAGAAGGACACTGCCATCACCATGTTTCACTGTAGACACCATGCCTTTTTCTTTGTACTCCTCACCTTTGCGATGCCATATAGTTTTGAAGCTATTAATTCCAAAAACATGTATCTTGGTCTCATCACTCCAGAGTATAGAGTCCCAGTAGTCTTCTTCTTTTTCAGCATAAGCCCTGGCAAATTCTAGGCTGTTTTTTTTGTGCATGGGCTTCAGGAGAAGCTTCCTTCATGGAAAACATCCATGCATGCCATTCCTCTGCAGTGTACGCTGTATTATGTCAAGGGAAACAATCACCCCAGTTTGGCTCTCTACTTCTTTAGCTAACTGCAGTGAACTTGCATGGCGATTTTCTTCAACCATTCCCATCAGAAGACTCTTCTGTCGAGGTGTTAACTTCCGTGGATGGCCTGGATGTCTCTGTGAGATGGTTGTAGTTCCATCTTTGTTAAATTTTTGTATCACTTATGCTACAGTATTCTGTCTGATAAGTAAAGCTTTGCTGATCTTCTTGTAGCCTTCACATTTCTTGAGTAAATAAATTACTTTCTTTCTCAGGCTTTGTGACATTTCTCTTCCATGTGGTGCCATTGCTGACAGCATGAAATGGAAAGGGGTTTTCTTTAAGTAACGCCTTTTTACACCCCGCTCACATTGGTTGCGACTTGGCATGTTATTTGCATGCCATGCAACTTGCAAATCATATGCCATTTCGCACCCTATTGTCCGCTATTAGAGTGGTCATATCAGTGCGGTTCTGACTTGGTCGGAGCAGCATCAATTTCTAAAGTAGTACATACACTACTTTTGTTGCGATTTGCATAGACATCTGTGTCAGATGTCTTGCATAGGGCAATTGAAATTGGCAGGTCATCCAATTTTGAAATCGTGCAACTTCACTGTAAGCCGCACGATTTCAAAATCGCCTTTGATGTGACCTGGGGCTTATAATCAACTGTCTGTTGGACACCTATTCAATGAATAATTAGACTCACCTGTAGTTGAATTCTTATTCATTAGGATTTTGTTGTCTAAAGTTTTTTTTTTGCTCCTAAGACTTTCATTGGGGTGTATTCATTTTTTACAACATATTCTTGAATGAATTTGTTAGGAAAAATACTTGTTTGAAATCAATGGCCTGCATTTTGGGACTATTTTTTTAGTATAGTGTTCCATATACAGTATAATGTTGAATCTGAGAGGAAAGTGAACGTTTTCTGACAAATCTGTTGAGGTGTACTCATTTATGCTGAGCACTGTATATATAGGTTGTAGAGGAGTGATAAATAAATGGGACGTATTACCATCCTCCCAACGCAACCCATCTAAAAATGGTCTAAAAGAGATGGATTCATTTAGACCTGTTGGTAGTGTAGCTCATGTTGGAGAAATATTTTGTTTCAGTCTCCTCCTTGTGGGCCCGAATGTACCCGATCAAGAATAAGAAACCATATTTTAGGGAACATTCCCCCATGGGATATTCATCTCTATGTGTATTTGATGAACGTGACTGAGCTTTTGAATCTTTAGTAAAGATAGAATAGGAGGGAAGAGAAGAACCATCACCCACCTGTGTGTAACTTGCCACCACA